GAGTGTCGATCACGTTCTGGTGTTGTCTGTTGCAAATTTCTAAATGGTGCAAAGTGACATGCAGACATTAGCATCATGCACCTTATATGCATAGCGATATATAGTCAGTGACTCACGGGACAGGTAGATTCTGATCCATGTTCACTATTTTTTATTTAAACAGTTGTTTAGCAAGTGCAAAATGAGTTGCCTGAACTCATCAATTGAGTCAGATTGTTGCACATTTCTATCATTGTTGAATAAAAAATGAAACCCACAAAAGGTGTATTACACTTTATTACACTTGGCTGCAGGGGAAGGCAATTTCACTCGAGAATGCAATTCAAAAGCAGCAGCCGAGTTGTGTAATCAATTGTGTAACCAAGGTTCTATTATTGCTTGTGCTAATCTCGATGCCAATTCCCCCATGGTAGGAAAGCTGTGTTGTTTGTCCGTGTTGTGCGCGGAGCGCAGTAGGCGTGGGGATTACTGTCCACTATATCGCGTTTGGAAGGAATTTTGGACTCTGTAGAATTTAGCCTCTCGAAATCTCAATCTCACTTTTTTTGAAGTTTTTTCTCAACTCAACCGTTATTAGCAAGCTCAAGCGAGAAAACCACGCGAAATTTCTAAATCAAGGTTTAAGCGAGCTAAGCGTTTCCATGTGGCCTTTAGCGAGCTACGCGTCTCCCACACACAGCCACAAAACCGGTCTCCCATAATATTATGACTAGCCCAAGCCCGTTGTGCCTTCGGCACAGGAAGCAAGCAGAGCACTTCGTGCTCTGCTGGAGGCACCTTTGGTGCCTTGTCTCACTGTGTCTACATATTATTTACTTGTGTGAAATAAGTAAATTCTTACATCTTACATTTAAAAAAATATTATATAGTTTTGTTTTAGTTATGAGATGTTGCACAAACAGTTTGACTGAAGGTTACCTGGGACACTGGCTTGCGATCCCGTGGCCTCGTGCCTCGGCCAGCGGGATGCAAGCCAGTGTCCCAGGTAACCTTCAGTCAAACTGCTTGTGTCATGCTATTGATTCATACACTTCCTCCCAATTATCTTGTCCCATGTCCTGTTGTCCTGTGTCCCGTGTCCTGTGTCCCGTGTCCTGTGTCCTGTGTCCCATGTCCCGTGTCCCGTGTCCCGTGTCCCGTGTCCCGTGTCCCGTGTCCCGTGTCCCGTGTCCCGTGTCCCGTTTCCTGTTGTCCCGTGTCCTGTTTCCTGTTGTCCCGTGTCCTGTGTCCTGTTGTCCTGTTGTCCCATTGTCCTGTTGTCCCGTTGTCCTGTTGTCCCATGTCCCATGTCCTGTTGTCCCATTGTCCCGTGTCCCATGTCCTGTGTCCTATTGTCCCATGTCCTGTGTCCCATTGTCCCATGTCTTGTTGTCCCGTTGTCCCATGTCCCATTGTCCTGTGTCCCATTGTCCCATGTCTTGTTGTCCCGTTGTCCCATGTCCCATTGTCCTGTGTCCCATTGTCCCATGTCTTGTTGTCCCATTGTCCCATGTCCCATTGTCCTGTCCTCCCATTGTCCCATGTCTTGTTGTCCCATTGTCCCATGTCCCATTGTCCTGTCCTCCCATCTCCCATCCTCCCATTATCTTCTCATCCTCCCATTGTGTCCTCTTGTCCTCCTCTTGTCCTCCCATCCTCCCATCTCCCTATTCACCCCATTTCTCCATTCTCCATCTTCCCATTCCCCTGTTTACCCATTGCCAATTTTTCCTATCTTTATATTTTCGCAATTTTGCATTTTCACATTTTTGCATTTTGCATTTTTCACATTTTTCTACTTGCTTGGTGTTCTCTTTTCTCTTTTCCCCACAAAAATCCCAAAATCCCTTGTTGTCCTCCAATTTTTACTATTTATTATGTATTCACAGTTACAGTACATATAAAATCATTGTTGTTGTGCAAAATGGAGGGCCAGTGAGCACCTGCCAATCCCATTGTGGCTCAATTTTTACAAATTCCCAATTTTGGACAGTGAGCTCGTATAGTAAGGGACAATGGTTTTCGCAAATTTAAACTCCGGTTGACAGAACCACATGGGATCCCTTTTTCAGCGACCTTAGCGAAATAAGCATTCCAAGCGGCTTGTAACCGAAAAAACCGACGCTGGCGACACCATGTGCGCTACGCGGAATACCCGTCTCCCACCCCTTCCCCCACACCCTTCTCCCTTACTTTTTAAGACGAGTCCAAGCCCGTTGTGCCTTCGGCACAGGAAGCAAGCAGAGCACTTCGTGCTCTGCTGGAGGCACCTTCGGTGCCTTGTCTCACTGTGTCTACATATTATTTAATTATAACAAATCAATAATTTCTTACATTATATAGTTTTGTTTTAGTTATGGGATGTTGCACAAAGAGTTTGACTGAAGGTTACCTGGGACACTGGCTTGCGATCCCGTGGCCTCGTGCCTCGGCCAGCGGGATGCAAGCCAGTGTCCCAGGTAACCTTCAGTCAAACTCTTTGTGTCATGCTATTGACTCATACACTTCCTCCCAATTATCTTGTCCCATGTCCCGTTGTCTTGTTGTCCCGTGTCCCATTGTCCCATGTCCCATGTCCCATTGTCTTGTTGTCCCGTGTCCCATGTCCCATTGTCCCATGTCCCATTGTCCCGTGTCCCGTGTCCCGTGTCCTGTGTCCCGTTGTCCTGTTCTCCCGTGTCCCATTGTCCCGTGTCCTGTTATCCTGTTGTCCCATTGTCCTGTTGTCCCATGTCCCATTGTCCCGTATCCCATGTCCCATGTCCTGTTGTCCTATGTCCCATTGTCCTGTCCTCCCATCTCCCATCCTCCCATTGTCCTCCCATTGTCCCATTGTTCTCCCATCCCTCTGTTGCCTACCATTTCTCCATTCTCCATCCTCCCATTCTCCTGTTTACCCATTGCCAATTTTTGCCATCTTTATATTTTCGCATTTTTCCATTTTTCACTTTTTCTACTGGCTTGGTGTTCTCTTTTCTCTTTTCCCCCAAAAAAATCCCAAAATCCCTTTTTGTCCTTCAATTTTTACCATTTATCATCATGTATCACAGTTACAGTACATATAAAATCATTGTTGTTGTGCAAAATGGAGGGCCAGTGAGCACCTGCCAATCCCATCTTTCTATTTTCGCATTTTTCACATTTTTCTATTTGCTTGGTGCATCCCATTGTGGCTCAATTTTTACAAATTCCCAATTTTGGACAGCGAGCTGGTACAGTAGGGGACAATGGTTTTCGGAAATTCAAACTCCGGTTGACAGAACCATGTGGGATGCTTTTTTCAGCCACCTTAGCGAAATAACCGAAAATACCGACGCCAGCTGATGCTGGCGAGGCTTACCGACGCCATGTGCGCTACGCGGAAATGCCCAAATCTTCCCACCTCCCCCCCTTGCCTTCTCCCTTACTTTTTAAGACGAGTCCAAGCCCGTTGTGCCTTCGGCACAGGAAGCAAGCAGAGCACTTCGTGCTCTGCTGGAGGCACCTTCGGTGCCTTGTCTCACTGTGTCTACATATTATTTAATTATAACAAATCAATAATTTCTTACATTATATAGTTTTGTTTTAGTTATGGGATGTTGCACAAACAGTTTGACTGAAGGTTACCTGGGACACTGGCTTGCGATCCCGTGGCCTCGTGCCTCGGCCAGCGGGATGCAAGCCAGTGTCCCAGGTAACCTTCAGTCAAACTGTTTGTGTCATGCTATTGACTCATACACTTCCTCCCAATTATCTTGTCCCATGTCCCATTGTCCCATGTCTTGTTGTCCTGTGTCCTGTTGTCCCATTGTCCCATGTCCCATGTCTCGTTGTCCCATGTCCCATTGTCCTGTGTCCCATGTCCCGTGTCCTGTTCTCCCGTTCTCCCGTGTCCCATGTCCCATGTCCCATGTCCTGTTGTCCTGTTCTCCCGTGTCCCATTGTCCCATGTCCCATTGTCCTGTCCTCCTCTTGTCCTCCCATCCTCTTGTCCTCCTGTAGCCCTCTCATCCTCCCATTGTGTCCTCTTGTCCTCCTCTTGTCCTCCCATCCTCCCATCTTCCTATTCACCCCATTTCTCCATTCTCCATCCTCCCATTCTCCTGTTTACCCATTGCCAATTTTTGCCATCTTTATATTTTCGCATTTTTGCATTTTTCACATTTTTCTACTGGCTTGGTGTTCTCTTTTCTCTTTTCCCCCAAAAAAATCCCAAAATCCCTTTTTGTCCTTCAATTTTTACCATTTATCATCATGTATCACAGTTACAGTACATATAAAATCATTGTTGTTGTGCAAAATGGAGGGCCAGTGAGCACCTGCCAATCCCATCTTTCTATTTTCGCATTTTTCACATTTTTCTATTTGCTTGGTGTATCCCATTGTGGCTCAATTTTTACAAATTCCCAATTTTGGACAGCGAGCTGGTACAGTAGGGGACAATGGTTTTCGGAAATTCAAACTCCGGTTGACAGAACCATGTGGGATGCTTTTTTCAGCCACCTTAGCGAAATAACCGAAAATACCGACGCCAGCTGATGCTGGCGAGGCTTACCGACGCCATGTGCGCTACGCGGAAATGCCCAAATCTTCCCACCTCCCCCCCTTGCCTTCTCCCTTACTTTTTAAGATACAGTACATAAGTAAGTCAATATCGCACGTTTCGAAGCCAGCAACGCTGCTCGAGTCTTTCCGGATCCATACACTGACATAAAGAGAAAGGGCTATCAGAGACCAGTGACAGTACTATCTTCGCGCGTTCAGTCCTCTGGTCATCAACCAGGACATCCAGCTCCTACAGGTGTGCGTAGAATTGAGGTGATAAAACTCGATCTGCCTTGGCAGGCTTTCGATGTCCTCCCTTACTTCCGCCGCCCATGCTTGTTGCGTGACCAAAGAACCAGTCCATGCTCTCAGCCGAAGATCTGCAAAGTCGAGAGGTCATTATAAGTAACGCCTTTCGATGGATTCGATTAGGGAGAAGGCCTCAGCATCCAGCGCGGTCGGGATAGGTGGCATGTCTGTAAAGCAAGGCGTAATTTAGAACGCAGTCTCTTGATAGCCGTGGTCACATGTGCAATGAAAGGTGATAAGTTAGATGGGTCACGAGAGATTTCAGTTAGCAAGGCTCTAGCTCGACAGAGGATCAACACCCAAACACCAATACCCCTATCATACTAAACTACGATATAAAACATGACCACAATACTTCGGGTGGTAAAACGGCTCCTATAATCACTCATGTCGGACGATATCCCAGACGTCCATCACTTGTTCCCAACAGAAGACACATGTCAGGTCATAGACTAGACTATTGTCATCACCACTCGTTGTCTCCCCATTGCAAAGTTGACAACGCTACAGCGATTGCGACACTGCAAATCGCTGCGGGCCCAGGCTCATGAACTTGTCATTGCATACTTCATTACCTCTTACAACGGCAGGGACTTACAATCAGCCCACATCATCGACTGCACGTCAGGGTCGCATGTGGACATCGACGCAACTGCCACCGGTACCATACTAAGTCTTGATCCATTCCCATTTTCATCGGTATCGTAGCTTCTCATTTTCCCGCTGCCTCGAACATGCCCAAGCCACGTTGGGGAAGTCTGTTGTGGCAGTCGATCGCGTGATCACGCCCGCATGCGGCTCCTGGACTAGAGTCGAATCTCTTGCTCAATAACAATTTGGAACGTACGCGATCCTGAATACAATAGACGTTGCCAGTGCAATGACTACACCGCAATTCGCCAATCTAGTCAAATCAGTTTCGACTTTGCGCCCCGCTATACCCTCACAAGGCACCACTGTTACTGGTTCGCCTTTCTGGTGATTGCAGTTGTACAGATTGAAACGGATGGAGACGAGACACCCGAGGAGAAGATAGAGGATCCATAAAATGGGGGGTCTTGACACCAGCCCACGACCCTCGCGAGGATGAGGAGGCGGTGAGAAATACCTACCATAAGGTGAGGTTCCACTTGTATCTTGTTTGCCATCCAGCTAATATATTGCTTAGAGAACGGCAGACATTGAAATGGCGGACGTTGATTAAAGAATGCAATGGAACGGTGTTGAGTTGGAAATGGAGGAGTTGGAAGGTCCGCTTGCTTATGATGGCGTCTGACACTTGTCAAGGTCGTTTTCGATAACCTATAACGAGTGGTTAGATGAGAGTCTCACCATGTTGGTGTGATTCATCTTCGTTGATCATTAGACCGACGTTTGGCCTTGGCTTCTACTCGCTGAGCTTTTGTGAGTTTAGAGTTAGAAAATCGTCCAACGACCCACACCGTAAGCTAGCGTTCAATGTCAGAATGAATGCATTTTAGATGCGTTTTGTCATGTCCATGGCACCGTGATCCTCCATGGCACCGTGATCCTCCATGGCACCGGTGGTGTTGACCTAGTAAAGTGATGCATGAAATTCCAGCAGCGAAAAGCAGGGATACGCGACTTACCTGCAAGGCAGCAGCGCGTCTGACATGATGGAAGGAGCAGTGGAAGGAAATACGCTCGATTCGAATCAACAGAATCCAAATGCTACAGATTAGGTTATGTACGTTTCCTGACCAGAAGGCGGAACTATTTTCCTTCTATTACTCTACTCAGGGGAGATTATGTTCGAGCGGCTTCTAATGTATGTAATAGTGGGACTTTATGTAAGTTCACTAGCCAAGCCACGAGGACATAGAAGCACTGAGGGAGGGGAGGCAAGGCAAGGCACGAGCGAATTGATGGGCCAGGTCGATTCGATTTGAGAGCTGAATGGTTTTATAATGACAGGATCAACGGCGAACAGTACTAGTTGAGAGCTTCGGATATCATACTGCCCACCGCAGGTGTGGATTCAGACGGGTCCATTCTACTAGCTGACCAGCTTTCCGTCCTGACCACCTATAAGCGGTGCCAAGACAACTGACGCAGCAAGAGTGCTGGTCGACGCACTCGCCACAACTTCCACAGCGTTCTGCACCACGGCACGCATACTGGAGCCGGACCTGGGGAATAATCTGATCCAGAAAAGGGCGATGCGTAGTCCTCGGTCGATGATGCGCTGCTTCAGGATCAACAGAACCACGAGGTCGGAGATTATGAGGATGCGGTCGATCCAGTCAGTCTTAGGGTATCTTGGGTAATTAGTTGTTTGGAGGTGCCAAGGATGAGATCGAGCGTGTCGTGCGGCGTGGATGCGGATTGGAGAGTTGCGGCAGACGATTCCACATTCAGTGAATGATAAGTATTGAAGAAAAACGATAGTAGGAGGAACTTGCCTAGTAACTTCTGAAAGGACGAAGCTTCTTGGACTATAAGTCACGTGTACGATAAAACCTCAAGTACACCCAAGATGGCTTGCAAGGGATATTGATTCGACGAAGCTCTCCCCGTTGTCTTTGAAGTCTTTTCGCATACAATGATATTGCTGCATAATCGGTAGATTCCGTTAGATGCACCTCCTTTCTACGACTGTTTTATCTCGCATCCATGATTTTGTCTCTGCTCCCAATGAGTTGCTCAAGGCTTCGCCTCAATGGTCAACGATTCAAACCAGCCATGCTTTCGATTACGAGGATTATATAATAATATCAGCTCATGTCTGGCGTAACTTGACGCTTCTCAGATCTCACTGGCGGTTCCTTAATCACCGGCGTGACTCGCCAGTGGCCATAACCAGTTTCGGACGTATCCTGGCTGATCATCGCTAATCTCTGGGCCTCTGGCTGGCCATCACTAATCTCTGGCGTAACCTGACGCTTCTTCCTGAGGATTCCTTAATCACTGGCGTTACTCGCCAGTGGCCATCACTAGTTTCGGACGCACCCTGGTTGGCCATGGGCCTCTGGCTGGCCATCACTAATCTCTGGCGTAACCTGACGCTTCTTCCTGGGGGTTCCTTAATCACTGGCGTTGCTCGCCAGTGGCCATCACTAGTTTCGGACGTACCCTGATTGGCCATCGCTAATCGCTGGCGTAACCTGACGCTTCTTCCTGGCGGTTCTTAATCGCTGGCGTGACCCGCCAGTGGCCATTGCTAGTTTTGGATATACCCTGGCTGGCCATCACTAATATCTGGCGTGCCCCTCCTAATTTCCGCCTCACCACATTGCTAATCCCTGGCATGCCCTCACTGATCCCTGGCCCGCCATGATTAATGCCTGGCGATCGAAAGTAGCAGATGGGCAGATAAGCGCACGCCTGAATGCCTATTAGGGTCTCATTTGGTTGGTGCTGTTTCCTTCATCTTCTTGGTTCCTCTGTATTAGCAAGATGCAACTGTCAACTACGCTGGTCCAGGTTCGCTATCACCGATCAGTTGTCACTCTAATTAACTTGTGGTTTCAGCCATCCCCTAGGCGAATCCTCTTCCGCGGATATACAGCGCACGAACAGCAAATCTCGCCACTTTATGTGAGGCTATAATCCTCAAAGTTAATTATTTCATCTCATCGTGTTCGTTTGCAGTGGCCTGAAGAACATCTCGCTCGCGCGAACCCATGCCACGATACCGTGCGACACATTGGATTTTTGGCTTCAAACAGCAGTGCACTATATTCTGTCTATGAGATAAAGGTGAGAGCTCTATCATGCTGCCAAGTTCACTTCTGATAGGACGTCCATATTAGCCCGGTGGCTCTGAATTTCTCACATATTTTAAGCCCAGTTTTTGGCGGATCGATGAAGGGGTCTCCCGCCCCGTCTGGTTGGCGAGTGTTTCTCCCAGTGCTAGCACATTGCCGTACTCATCGCGCCACATACATAGCTTGATCAGCTCCGTAATATCAACTTCATCCCGGGAACATCCCAACAAGGGCTTCCGCCTCCCATCCCTGCCATCCCCTTCGACCTTGCGGCTTGGCGTGCCCTTGAGTCCCTCCGCATTCGCTCTCTCAGGCAGCAGCGATGTCGTTCCACCCGCCCGTAGATGGTGATTATGAATCTACGGGACGAGATGTGACTCCAACTCTTTTAACCTTGCACCCGCTTTCGAGGAAGAGGACATTGCTCTCTCGGATACTGCGATCTTTGCTGATCATTAGCCCGCCGGTGAGGCGCGATCCGTCCACAAAGATGTAAGCCTAGTGGCTTACCTACGTATACATTGCATTACGGACATGTCTTTTCCTTAGCTTGTACACTACCATTTTCGTCGTCCGCAATCCAGAACGTTGTTCTGTTTTGTTTCGCGTGTATTTTCAGTGTCTCTTGTCGTCGGAATCCTGACTGAATCCTTTTATGTTCCCTTGGCACGCCCCTATTTTCCTTAGGCTTTCAAGTTGTATCTCCAAGGGCTGTCTCCTTTGCATCCATCCCTTCATCATGATTACCAAATCCGAAGTCTTCGATGATAGCGAGTCCACTACTAACGTACCACCCCCATACGACAATATTTCTACATCTGCATCAGCAGCAGCAGATTCCGTCAAATGCACTGGCAAACGATCATCATCTGTATTCTCCTTTCTACGAATCAATCAGAAACGGAAAACTGTTTTATCTCGCCTCCGTGATATCATCTCCGCTCCCGATGTCGACCCTTCCTCTGTCGCCTCAACTGTCAACTCCTGTGCTGCTATTCTTCCAGCTTGGGAGTTCTCTGATCTCTTGCAAAAACCCAACATCGAGAGTCACTCGGCTTTGTATTGGGAAATCGTGAATTACCGGCGAGAAGCCTTTTTGGCGTTTCTTGGATTCATTTCTCGTTTCTGGTCTTTTCGAGATCTTCCGACTTGTGTCTCGCATGTATGTCCACTAGCGACCACACATTGTTCAAGCAGCTCGATTTAGGACGTTTCATTAATCGTAGGTGCGCGGTACTAAGCTCACCAGAGTGCATTGACTAAATTATTTTGTATTCATCAGCCAAGACGCTTTTTGCATTGACCGCCGGATGAGGTGGAGGACTGGCGATAGACTGAGCAAGAACCAGTTCGTTGCTTGCGTTCGTATCGAAATGTTCCAGAAACGCCTGCGCACGACACAAAATTGGTACATAGAATATGTCGCAGAGGTATGTGGTTCATACCCGTTAGTGTTCCTCACGCTGATATGCCAATCCTTGTAAGACGTATATGATTGTTTGGCTTTTATCCGGTATATGATGCGAGGTGGCGCTTTACGTTTAGTCTTCGCCAGCCTAGCCTTCCAGCGTATCCAGAAGCTGTACTTGTGATCAAGGCACACGGAAGGAAACCTGATTGTGCAAACCCGCCTGAAGATCTGCGATTACAGTATGCTACAGGGTCCATGATTGCACCTATTAAGGGGTAGGTGCAGATTTGTTCCAACTCATTTGAAGCCAAGGCATCTGATATCTTAATTATTCTGTGCTCCCGCTTTGTCTACACAGATCCAGCACGGCATCCAGTGTGGGATGGCTTTCTCAAATACTATGAGCATCTATTTCACAAACATCGATTCAGTTCAGAATCCGTCTGAGTACACAATCAGTCGCAGTGCTGCTTAGAACATTTAATCGCCGGTTTGGGGATGGTCTCATGCTGTTCCGCTTACAATGAGCACCTTGTGCCACGATGTCCAATACTAATATCCTCCCAATGCTACAAGCTTCTGTCAGTGATACCGCTGCTCCAACGCGATCAGTGGCGCCAACTACAAACGCGAAGCGGACGCGACCTGGCCCGAACAAGAACGGACGGTAAGTGTTTGTGTACGGATGCGGTACACCAATGTCAACTTGTACAGCACACTCTGCGCTCACCGTTGGTTGAATGGAGTCACGAAGGACGGGACAACAGCAGACTTCAAGATCTATTGGACTGCCTTGGCGAAGGACACCAAACAAGTGAGTACTGCTTTTTCTTATCTCGCAGCGACCTTACGAGCTTATTTTCTTCAGAAATACGATCTCGAAGCAGCTCAACTGGTAAGTGATATATCCGCCTTGTGTCTACAATATACTGATCTATCTACAGGTTGCCTCGGGCGTCTGGAACGCAAATATGGCCGATATTATCCTCAAGATATCGAACGGGATAGTCTACTAGCTGGACGAGCAGGATCACGAGCGCGCAGCGGGCGAATAGGCAGCCTAATTTTGTATCAATCAGTTTTGTACTCGCAGTCGAAATGCATCGCTTTCTGTATATTTCAGTTTGGCTATTGAAAACAAAAGCTCGGGTCCCTAATATTTCCGTAGATTCACAATCTCCGTCAATCTACTATGTGTCCCATTATCTACGGACTATATGACGCGGCGAAATTCTACGGGTTGTGTATGTTTGCGTAGATTCTATGATGTCCAGTGTTCACTGGGAGTGACCACTGACCCAATGCTTCGATCCTATTTCTCGCTGCTTCAGTATGCCTAAAAGTTTGTGTTCTTCTGTCTCAGCGACACATTACTAGTACTGATTACAACTCTGTGGTTCGACGATATAAATTGAGGTGTTGCAGAGTTGAAATATGTCATCATGGCTAGCCACTCTGATGCTAACGACTCCGGCTCATTTGCTGAATCTACCTTTGAACTTCACTTCCGATGCGAGGCCTCAACGGATGCGCCGACGATGGAGTGGAAGGCTCAGCGGGGAGGAGCTTCAAACAGGGAGAGGAGAGGAGTGAATGTGCTCAATAGAAGGAACTTGGGGTTAGCGTCACCATAAACGCCTCTCGTAAATCTCAGAGAATTTTGCACCCCGGCGTCTATCGCATGCTTTGGGTATCTATCTTTCCCTCTGCCCCCAACCGCGCCGACAACACTGCATTCCTCGCCAAGTCACTGTCATAGTCTCGACTCCTTTACCTCAACTTTACCTGACACACTCTCAGTACGTATGCGTCGAAGAGGAGGAAAATATAATTTTTTTCCTGATTCTTCTCCCTCCGTGGATCAGGTTTCAATTTCTTCAAGCACTCTGCACATTCCTCATTCACTCTTCAAGCCTCACATACCCACGTCCGTCACATACTTTGATGGACTTCCCTCACAGTTGTACTACGGTGTCTTGCTTTTAAATTCTCCTGTTGGCGTTCTGTCATCAGCTATCCATTGACTGCGAACGGGAGCGTTTTTGTTGGTATCCGTGTGTGTATTGTTCGTTGGACCAGGAGCGACACTCACTACGTTGCTCGTCATCTCCAGCCCCCTCCGAAGAGTCATGCATATACTAGCCTCGGGCGCTAGTGTAAGATAACTCGATCAACCAAGTTGGGCTGGTACGCGCGATGGTGGGTCCTTCATATTTATCAGGACTCATCAGAGTCAAATGCGTTCACGAGGCCTCGGTTCAAATGTGGATATACGTCGGTTCGGTTTCGCTTCCTGATATCGCACTCCTTCCTCCTCGAACCTCTCGATATCCAGGCCCTCCAATATAAGGATGCCGGAATCCAGAAAGACAAGACCACACCGTCCGCGTGTGCCACGCACCGGAGATGTTGCACAGATACGGCACCCTCTGTAAGGAAGTCCAGTGGTTCTCCTTGTTCAACATGTCGACTTTCATGGCCCGTGAGGAGTATGCAGACGTACTCCAGACTTGATGGTCCTGTCGCATGGCAGATGCAGCACGGTCTAGCTAAGGGCATCGAGAATGTCGATTGCTAGGGTTATATCAGAGCTCGGGCCCCCGCGCGCTTCCACGATTTCCCCCCACTGGTGTGTGTGTGTGTGTGGGGGGGGGGGGGGTTATCAGAGGCCGTCGATAGTATTTCTGCTTGCGTGGTGCAAAGCAAAGCATACGAGTTCGTGCCTAGCTGACAGATCTTCGATGTCTTGCTCATACCCGTTGGCATGCATGTGTCGCTCAAAACCATAAACCACACCTAGGAGGCATTCAGTCATAATTATGCTGGTCTGCATACGCCACGACAGAGACAGTCATCCGAACAACTCAGAGTCCCTGGCTAGGTACTTGGGGTGTCTCGCAAAGCACAAATGGTACTCGATCGACTCGGAGTTGACAAAATGTGCCCTGGATAGTGGTGTATCTACATACAATGCTTTCTACGCCAGCTCATTGTCATCATTTAGCGAGATGTGCAACTACTGTGTCTTATGCAAAGGAATAACCGTTGGGTTCCAGTACCAGTTCAAGGGAAGGAAAAAGGACGGCGTATTCTGCAAGCTGCTCGTCCGTCGTCGTCACTCGAAAAATTAGCCCCTCCAGGGGACACTTTAACCGCGCCAAGAACGCCTTGAACTCTTCATGAGGGCATGTTCGTGTATAGTGAGTTTCGAGCACCCGTAAATTGGGGAACGAACACGTCATATACAGAACGTGTGGGCACAGAGTCAAAATTGAAGCATATGGATCGAATTTCGGTGTGCATGAATAACTCTAAAATTTATGTGATTGGATTGTGCCAGACCCGAAAACGAGGAGAGGTTGGGACACAGCTGGAGTAAGTGGAGGAATGCATTAGGATGATTAATGTATAGTGATCGCGACATTTGTCAGGAGTGGACAGCAGTCGCGAGATAGATTGTGCGATAGATAGGATTTCACAATAGATCCTGCACATAGTCAGTTCCTGAGATGCTGGGAGATCTTCTAACAAAAGTTCAGGTTGGACCACTTGGGATGGAAGATAGATAGGTGGAGACGAGATTTGTTTTGTGCAAGGCTGAAGAAGGCTTCGTAGCTTGGTCGAGTCGCTTGGGTAGCAGTCGAGTTCTAACTAGGGAGGGAACCCTTGCGATCTACGAGTCACAGCAGAAAGCCGCCTGCTGCAAGTCATGGTCTTTGATATGCAACCTGCACCACAAACTGAGCATACCACAGCAACCTCCTTCCATCGTCGGCAGACTTCAGTCGACAGCATGGGAACTTATAGCCTTAATGCGAGCAACAACTTGGAGGAACTGTTTTTCGGGAGACATGAGTGAAAATTTGGGATAGGAATTCAGTTGGCAAGCGCCAGAGAGCTGATCCGAGCCCCTGGTGCAAATTCATGGACTAGGTGTTCCTGGCTTTCAAGGCCTGAGATCTTGTGCAAAACAATATTCAACTGCTACTGGCGCTCGATGATGATGGCGCTAATGAGGCTCGGGCATCTGGGAATGGTAGACTGTTCGGGATTAGGGTACCTGGAATACGGGGTTTCAAGACCTGGAATCCGATCATCATTAATAAAATAATATCCGATATATATGCCGGGAGGGACATGCGGTCACCTGTGAACGTGAGAGCTGAAGCGAAGGAGCATTATTACATGCAGACGAGAGTGCCTATAAACTGGGCACTTACGATGTTTTTATCGCCCCTTTGATTGCCTGCATGTTGTTTGCCAATGCGAAGAAGGCGTTGCAAGTCGTACCGTCGATTTCATACTCCGCAAAACGCATCTTGATTCTAAGGTATGCAACATAGTTATAGCACTCTCCACGCACAAATTCTGCACGTCTGAGTTTCGAGTCTCATCTTTTCTCATATTCCGAGCCTCCCGTCAGTTGCTGCTTTGTACTTATTTACTTCGGTCAATTTTTTATAGGGTCCTTCGCTGCCCTCGCACGAAGGACCCTCTTGCTGGCTAATCCTCGCAGTGGGAGGGAGGGGATTAAGTAGTCGAGAAGTGACTGGGAAAGTAGGTGTAGTTGGGTAGATAAGTAAAAGATAAAAATTGAGTGAAAACGATGGGAAACACGCACATAGAATGAAGTAAGACCTGAACAAATTTTAAGAGATGGACGTGAACGGATCACGACCATCGTGTGCGGATCGACCATTGAAAATAAGGCTGTGAAGAAGAGTAGGATTCTTCCGGATATACACCTGAAAGGACTCTGAGGACCACCGTCCGATGGCCTGAATATGAGACGCTGGTACTCCACTAGCTGCCAGTGAAGTAGCTCCTCCAGCTCTCATTGAATGTCCCGCAATTGTCGAAGGAAAGAATTGACGCAACTTCCGAATAAACCAGCTGCGGGTTGGTACGGAACCATCCGCGCGAAGCCATAGAGTCGAATGGAAAGGAAAGGATGAGTCGCGCGACCTCAAATACTCCTTGAACACTTGGTGAGGGTCCGGCGGCAAGGATTCAGTGTGACGAACAACAACTGTTGCTCCTTCGAATTGAACGTCGGTTTTATGGGACGGGAGGACGTAGGAATGATGCTCGTTTTCAAGCACGACCGAAGTGCGTTACGTCAATTTTCTTCAACTTTGTAATTTTCTGTTGTCGGGCCATACTAACTCCCCAAGACGAAGGAGTGCATAAAATCCATCAAATAGTTGCGCGAGGAATAATTTGTCGTCATGAGAAAAGGGATGAGGGGGCTGATTGTGAACCAGCTGTAGGTCCGCTCGCATCAATGGAAGTTTCCGTTTAACTGGTATGCTATAACATCGTTTTGCGCCTTTTAAGGTGCGCGAAATCAGACGCGAGTGTTGAACCGACCGAATTGATGGATAGAACTCCTCAAGCTGACTACAAATTCCCGACAGGTAGTTATCGACCGAGCGTGGGCTGATATGGGCGGACATGTAAGAAACAAAATATGAGAGTGTGTCTGGTGTAGGTTCAACCGAAAAATGATGAAGGTCGCAAAAGGTGAGGTAGGAGTTGAGCGCAGAGGAGTATGTGCGATTGGTGGATCGTTCGAGAGTCATTCCGAGGTTGATTGAACGCTTGTGATTGAGACGTTCAAGAGACCAGGGGGTTGCCTGGTATTGCGTGAAAGTGGGATCATTTTTTTCCCACCCCCAGCGCATTCTGAGGGGGTTCAAAAGGGAGGATTCGAAGGTGAGGATTACACTTCAGGGCCTCCCGGCCCTTGTTACGTGAAAGGTGATCCGCAATGACATTATGCTCTCCTGAAATGTGAAAAACGCGAAAGTCAATCGAAGCAGCTATAACAACGTCAACTGAGACAAGGAGGAGTGAGTTGAATCCCGGTGAAGCCTTTAATGAGTTGAACATCGCGACCGAATCCAAGCTATCTGTAAAGACAGCCAATCTCCCTCCTGAAGATAAGCGAGAAGCCACATCCTGAATAGCCGAACAGATACAGAGGACTTCAAAGAAATATATGTTGTGGACAGGGGCCTGCGACGGGAGAGAGGACTGGAATCCTAGATTCAAGGAT